CCTTTGGCTGCTATGAATCACAACGTGCTCTAAACCTAAGGCATGAATTCTTCCTTTGGTGCTGGGAAACATTGCAGTGAAATTCTCAGAAGCCTAATAGACAGTTCTGATTTTATTTTTTTCTCCTGCATGCAGAAGAACGACAGCAGATCTTTCATCACTAGTTCAGTCCCATCTTTGCACATCAGTGCCAATGAGCAGATGACTTGATAACAGGGTTGGTTATTGGCCAACCTTCAAACCTTCAGAAGCCATTGTAACATGTAATGGCCAAAGTAGACACGCTGATGGCAGATGCTGAGTCTTTGTACAAGACGTGGCACAACACTCTCTGTAGAAACCAAGTGAAAGCATGGGTAGATACTATTAGCTTGGTAATGGAAAGAAAAAAAGCAGAAAGCAGCACAAGCGTGTCGTAATAAATGATCATTAATATGACGTGTACAAGCTTCTAATGATGGTGATAATCAAGCCACAGTTGCTGGATTGGACACCTGGTAGGAATTCAGCAGCAGTCACATTTAAAATGCATTTAGGTGCATGATTACATGCATATGAAATCCTATGTAATGGTTCCCTTCTGAATTCTGGAAATCTCTAAGAGCAGAAAGGATGAAAAATCATAAAAAAAGGTAATAACTAGAGCACACGTCTGGGGAGGAAGAAAATAAATAAATGTGCGCTTTGCAACTGTGCATCCGCCAGTAGTGAGAGACGCTAGTCTGCATGTGGTTTTAATTAGAAAGCAAAGCTTTTTGACAGCAAATTGATTTTTAATTGTTCACTTCTGCACTCACTCCAGGTGGCTCTCAGAGTCTTCTTCATTTGCTGTTTTACGCGCTTTGTGCAGGGTACGAAACCCCCACTACATTACAAGATGTTGCAGACCTGCCAGCAATTTTACCAAATCACAAAGATTTCACGTTTGAAGCATATTTGGCCGTGTTTTAGGCGTAATTGTCTGAACTGCCTCCTCTAGCCAGCATCTGCACTCTGAAACGGCAGCAATAAGGGATTTTCTAAAGACGGTCTGGTCGGCCACTCTAATGGCCCTGACAGGAAGGAAATGTAATTTGAAAGGAGCTGATCTATGTAAGCCATTGTTGTGGCATAATGCTGATCTAATTATTAACTACCACTGATGGAAGAACAGCACTGTGTGGATTTTTGTCGGGGCAGATTTGGAATGGTGCCACAGAGCAGCATTGGGTCCCAGGCTTCTTCTGTTCTCCAGAGAGTGAAGTCATGAGTTTGCATTTGCCCTGCTGCTGCTGACTTGTTCATAAACTCATAAGTGAGCAAGAAAAGAAAAGAAAAGAAAAGAGCACAATGACACACTTAAGATACATTTTTACATGGTTATGTGCTTCTTGTACAGTTAAAAGTAGTCATATGAAACTCAAACCTAGTCTTATATCAAAGCAAGGAATGCTTTTCAACTGCAGAACAGATCCAGTGGGCAAGAACACGCAAATAATATGTTAATATGAGCATGGTCTGAGTTGCAGCATTAATCAGAGACTTACAGTTGAAAATCACTGCTTTTGGTTTAAAATCATGTATCGTTTTATTCAGATGTGCCCCAAGAAGCATGAGGATCAAAATCAAGTTTAGAGACTATCCTGGAGTAAGCTGTTTAAGGCCCTAATTTTAAAAGCAGACTTTGCCTTTTGCCGAGGTGCCATTTATCACTCACATTTTGTACAATTAAGGAGCAATTAATGCCCTGTATTGAATGGCTCCCACTAATGCTGGCACTCCATCAAAGCCCAGCACACTAAGCTCTCACTTTAATACCACCATCAAGAACACATATCTGAAGTGCAGCACACTCATACTCGGATGGTCGACATAAGACCAAAAAAAAAGGAAAAAAAAAGAAAAAAGTGGTTCTAACATCAGATTTAAATCAATCTCATAGACAAATGATATCAAAAGGCAGCAATATAATATGATTGTGGTGCCTGTGACCTTTTCTGCATTCGGTGCTCTACCAGTCTGGGTTGAGCACAGTAAAGGACTGACCTTTGTAGAATTATTCTAATACTGTCTAATCTGAATGGTTGAAGGATATGCTGCTTGCGCTTTGTGCAAAAGGTTACACAATCTGTGTGGTAGTGGCATCTTTCCAAGGACTTCTTATTTGTGGGAGTTTCAGCTGGAATCAACAGTCCATACCAGTAAGATATTTTATATTTGCTCTACTGCGATTTCTAATTAGAGGGCCTCTGATCACCTGCCCTCTACATTCATTAATGTCATTGCAATGATGGCCAATGGCACCTACATTACATTACATTACATTCCCTACAACTTGTCAAACCAGACCTGCATCAAATAACAACATAAATTCACACATTCAGTACAAAAATACAGACGCTGTGTATCTCAGTGTACATAATAAACAGGTCAGACTACTGAATTAATGAATAACTGTGTCTATACAGAGTACTTTACAAAATCTGAACTGATACTCTTAACGTTCAAGTTAAATCAAACATCTCCCCCCTTTTACTTTTCCCTGTACTTAATTCTACTTATTTGTTTATCTCGCTGCAGAGACAGACAGACAGATCGACAGACAGACATGCAGACATGCAGAGCCGAGTTTCCCAAAAGCATCTTAGTGTTAAGGTGAGCTTAACTGTTGAAGGGAGAGTTTACTGTGGTGCTCGCTCTACCATTTCAGAGTCGTCTTTGTGCTAAGATACTTCTGGGAAATCCAGCCCAGAACAACAGACAAAAGCAGACAGACAGATGGACAGACAGACAGACAGACAGACATGCCACATGAAAACTTTTGTGCCAGATGTCCCTGTTTTGCTGTTGACTGTGCTACAGTGACATCTTTTGGCGATGAGCATCAACTGCACGCACAAAGACAACAAGACTGTAGTACAGGCCATCAAATGTAGGTTGGTTGAGGTCTCTTCCTGAGAACTACATTTATTTGGTTTCTGGGCTTTAAAAAATTCTGATTTGTGCTTTGGTGAGTATTTTTAAAAGATAACTTTTACTTTTCAAGTAAACTTGTGAGGAAAGCAAAGGGCTAAAATATAAAATATCATGGAAAACCATGATGGATTTGGTTGGATGGATCATGGGGTTTGATGTAGTATGTAAAAACAGATAAAGTTTCAAAATGTACCATTCACTACCCAGTCAGTACAGTCCATATATAGAAATTCTACAAAAACAGCTCATTGGAATCCTGTTTTTGTGGTTTCACAATAACCCACACACTTATATTCATCATTCAGCCTTACAGTAGTTTAGCTCCGCTAACTTTGAAGTTATTAAGAGTGTTTCAGTTCTGAGTACTTTTTGAACAAGGCATTACAGAAGACAGCCAACCAGAACAGAGCTTATTCACATATATCACTCTTAAAAAGACAGTACCAAAAATGGGATAAATGATAAATGGGATAAAAATGGCAAATGGTCAAGTAAGAATTAATCATGATCGTTTTTGGTACATAAAACCACACAAATGTAATTAGTGGACGTCAGAAGAAAAAAGAAATACAAGAAAATGTTAGAATACAGGCCCTTTAACATTTATTTATTGCTTTTTGTGTTTCATTTCATGGTACGTTTGGTTACAGCACCTGTACTGCTTTGCAACTGGGCACTCTAGCGACGGCATAACGGTATCAGTGGGTATCAGTATCGCACTGATATCAGCAGAAAATGCTGGAATGGATTTCAAAGTGGGAAAAAAATAATTAATCTGATCTGACCCTTTAACAAATCTATCCTGAAATAGTGCACACTCACACTGATGTTGTTAGCTGTGTATTTATTTTATGTTCTTCCTAAAGGAAGTGTTTTCATTTTTTCTGTTTATATCACTGTTAATGCTTTGTTCTGGCATACCCAAAAAGAGTAAAAACCATCCACAGCTTATACAGAGTGCAGCAGAAAGAGTTGGAAGAATGACCATATTACTGCAGCACTGGAAGCACTTTACTGGCTTCCTGTTCAATACACAAAACATTTTAAAGTCCTTTTATTTGTTTTTAGAAGCCATTAATGAACCGGCACCTTTTATAAGTCAGAGTGCATTTTCAGTTAAAGTAAAAAAGTATGTTTAGTAAAAACATACTTCTTTAATTTAACTTATCTCATTTTATTTTTGCATATTTTTTGACATTTTATGAGCAATTGTTTATTTTAATATCATTTTTATTTTGCACATTTTTAGATTTTTACATTTTGTTTTGCATGTCTTGTTTTTTTTATGTTTCATCATTATCTCAACCTTTATACTTATTTATTTTTATACTTATTTTATATTTTTTAGGAATTTTTATTACATTTTTATTTTCCTTTTTTTCCAATGTTTTATAGTTTTACCCTTTTGTGTTTCTCCTCTTATGCTGGCTTTTATTTAATGTATGAAAGGAGCTATATAAATAACGTTGTAAACAAACAAACAAACAAACAAATAAATGTTCATTTTAAAGCTTAGCAGCAAAAGAAGAAATATTAGACTGGCCTGCACTCAATGTGTCAATATTGATGTTATCATACCACCTGTGGGACAGACCTCTCACTTTTGAGTTTTAGCTTTTTATATTAGTCAATAAATTCATAAAAAATAGTGTGTGTGTCCACTGCAGTTCTGAAAGTTACTTAGTACTTCAGTGGTGTTTTGAGCTGGTAGGTACTTCTGTGTGTGCTATGCTAGAAATGTACTTCTAAATCAGTCTGAGTCGTTGTTGAATTGCAGTAATAAGACGTTGACTTCAGTATGTGTGTGAGCTCCTCAACCCACCTCAGAAGCAGAGACAGCACACAGCAGCGTATGAATTAGACTGGACATTTCTGTGGGCTACATTTCCAGTTCGTCCACAAAAGTTTTCTCTTTGAGCGAAAGCGCTGCCCAACATGACCTTAGCCCCTCCCCGCCTCTCCCTCTCTCTCTCTCTCTCCCTCTCTCTCTCTCTCTTTCTCTCTTTCTCTCTCTCTCTCTCGTGCCAATTCAGCTGACGCGGCATTTCCGTTTCTGCGCAGTGCGCCGCCTCTGCCCGACTTTCACACTTTCACGGAAAACTTTGCTTCATGAAGAGCAAAGTTAGCTGAGAGAAAGGAGTGATTAAGTCATGATGAGCGGGACTGTGGTGGACAGCAGCAGCCCCACTGCTGCAGTCCCGGACGACATCTCAGGATCCGTGTTGGAGCTGGACGAGGACGAGGATCTGGAGGTCTTCAGTAAGGTAAATTCAGGAGAATACTTCGGTCAAAGTTGGAGCAGAAGACGGTTTCCCCTCTCTGAGACCCGAGAGATAGTGAGGTGGTGGCTGCTGCTGCTACGTGGTCTGTCTGTCTGTCTGTCTGTCTGTCTGTACTGACACGTAACATCTCTTAAACCAACTTTTATTGAGCAGTTGAGTTTGATTAGTCGCTGACGAGCAGCAGTAACTTCAACACCAGACTGAAAGTGGAAGCTCTCAGTCAGTTCAGCTCTAATAACATGGCTCAGTGGAATGAACGGGCACTACTGTCTACAGCCCGACTCTGTTTACTTCGGGACTCAAAAGAACATGTTGTCTGTCATTGTGTTGTGATATTCTCATGTTGGATTTCAAAGGTCAGAAATCAACAGAAATCGTGAATCCAAATCCAGCTTTACACCGTGATCAGTAGAGAGACTGTAGTGACTCACTGACTGAAGAATGGCTACAAACAGAGGCTACAATAGGATCACTGTGGAAGTGAATGTGATAGATAGGCTTCCCCGCGTGGCATTTTCTCTTCTTTTTAATAACACACATTTATGTAAAGATTGAAAAAGAGTAAACGGAAAAGTAGCCGCTGTGTTGTTGTTGTTTAGTTTTTCCAGCACCAGCTGAAATTTCTGCTGACAACAGTGGAGTTTGTTATGACAGGAAGCCTCCATAGAGGCGCAGCCAGGCTGTGCAGGCCTCCTCTTTTGGTTAGTTATCTGAGCTGGTTATCTGAAGTTTTTGCAAGGCCAAATGAGAATAGTTGCCTAAAGCCTCTGATCTGGATACACAACAGACACAGGTTTTGTGAAAATAAGAAAGGATTCTGTGGAGCCTCTGTACTATAATGCCTCATAAGACATAATGGTGTGAAATGGTAAGAAACATTTGTCCTGAGTCTGACTGAAACTTTAACATAGAATAGCTACATGTTTTGTAAGGGTGGAACAATTTCAGCACAGTATCAAGAAATAAAAGATATATGTTCGAAACAGAGAAACTACTGTCAATGGTTTGTTCATTGATCAATTATTTCAGGGTGAAACTATATAAAAAAGTTGAATGAGTACATTATTTATAATTGTCAGAATAAGTGTAGATTTGGCACATTTTATTTGTGCTTCTGTGACATGTTGATGTTGATATTCTATTTTGGGGAGCTGAAAATTGAGACATGCTATATAAAGCTTTATATGAGGCATTTCAGGTGTTTTGTATTGTTTATAGCTCAGCTGCACTGCTTTATATGATTGCTGTTTTGTATATTCCAATTTACAGTCTTTTGTTGTGAATAGGTCTGTCATGATCATGAAATTGATGACGATTTGCCATATAAATAGTTGCAGTGAAGTAATTGTCTTATTTGTTAGTTGAAAGTAACTATTGAAGTACAACCCTAAAGTGACCAAATTGGATGATTAACTATCTTGCATCTGTCAATACTCAAACAACAACAGACACGGCTCGAGCTCAAATAAACACACATCACTAACCACTGCCCTTTAAAGGGGTTATTAACAAACATCAAATAAACAAAACATTACTCATCAGAGTCCCTGAAGGTGTCATAGCACCAGTAAGAAGGTGGCGCTTGTTTTTGTAAGACCCATGACCTGTCTCAATAAATGCATTTTCTGTTTTTTAAAATTATTTACATGTATTTATCTCAAACTAGCTGATCAAAATACCCCAATTCATATTGTATTTTTTGAGATGTAAACAAAAGTGTGTCGTTAACTGGAAAATAAGTGTGACAGGCCTAGTTTTGAAGTAAGAAAATATCTTATTACTAGATTTTTTGAAGATCATTGCCATCTCAGATTGACATTTTTTGAAGATGCAATAAATTTTTAGCTTATTTTCCTTGTTTTTGCTTTAGGATACAAACTTCATGGATGGAAGCTCTTTAAATGCCTCTATGCAGACCTCCCCTGGCTCTATGGTCAATCAGTACAAGTTTGAGGAGGAGGAAGAGCAGCCTGACACTAAAGACATTTTTGTCACAGTCGATAACCCTGAGAGCCATGTGACGGCCATCGAGACTTTTATTACATACAGGGTTTTGACCAAGGTACACCAGCAGCCACGTTTTTCTAAGTGAGCATTTGAACACATAATCCTGCATTGTTTGTGTGCACTGTCTGAATGCTTGATATTTCTTGTATCCCTCTCTCTGACATCAGACCACTCGTAGCGAGTTTGACTCTAGCGAGTACGAAGTCCGCAGACGCTACCAAGACTTCTTTTGGTTAAAAAGCAAGCTGGAGGAGGCTCATCCCACGCTTATTGTTCCTGTAGGTGAAATTTATCCCACTTCCACACCACCCTCCGTATGCTCTAGAGATTCTCAGATACAAAAGTTGTAATTTAAACTGTCAGGTTTCAATCTAGACACTTGAATCTAGACATGTATGTATTTTATTTTCACAGTAAGCCAATTTGACTGTGTACTTTCAATATGTAAGTTATGTGCCATCACTGTCATAAAATCTGGTAAAAAAAAAATGGAGTGGACGTGACAGTGAAAATACAGACAAGTGGCAAAATGAAGTGTGTCAGCAAGGTGTTGGGCTTCAATATGCATTGCTACAGATTCTACATGTCTTTACATTGTACTGGAGGGATGAATCACCATTCTTCCAAAAGATTTTCATACTCATCAAACCGTTCAGTGACCCTTCTTGCGCTGTAGATGTGAGCATTTTCAGTGTGGAAGGGACCACTGCCATCAGGATAGATAGGATAAAGGTGCCTGTCCTCTTGGTGTGCACCACACATGCACTCGCCCACTCGTAGGGAACATAGTGAACAATGACTGACCTGAATGACTCCACATCTCTGTAGACCAGTGCCTGTGATTTCTGCATCACTGTACCCGTGTGCATTTGTCTTTAGAACAATTTCTCTTCTGTTTTTGCACTAATGTCTACTCGGCATTTTTATGTCTGCTGCAGAGCTTGGTAGGATGTTAGTTGCTTAATTGTATCATGCACTACACCTGCCTGCCTGTCTGGAAGAATCTTCACGCATGATAAATCCAGAAATGTTTGTTATGTGCTTTATACTCTACTGCCATGCACAGCAATGACTTATTTGTGCTGCTTTAGCCACTACCAGAGAAATTTGTGATGAAGGGAATGGTGGAGAGATTCAATAATGACTTCATTGAGACGAGGAAGAAAGCGCTGCACAAGTTTCTCAACAGAATAGCTGACCATCCTATTCTCTCATGCAGCGAGGACTTCAAGGTGTTTCTCACCGCACAAGCCTGGGTAAAACAAACACACACACGCACACACACATACATAGTTACAGTTACCGTATGTTCAGCAGTGGCACATCACGGAAGCGATGCTATTTCAAACAGAAAGACAGATAACATAATCTAAACCATTTTAGATGGGCCGGTCAGATATGGTCTATAAAATTGGAAATTCTGTATAAAACAGCTCCATAAAACTATACTTCCTTCCTGAAGATAGCAAAGATTTTTAGTCCACAAAATCATTCTTACAGCTACCCTCTTCATCCTAATCTGATTATTACTGACCTTCACTATATGCACTGTTCCCCTGTTCATATTCTCCCATGCACTCACAGTTCCTCTAAGAGGATCAGCCTTTGATAACAGGAGGTACACTGAAGGCTGTGTAAGATAAGTGCAAGATAAGTATAGAAGAAGCCTTTGCTGTTTTGTTACATTATAGAGGAATGTGTTGTTGTGGCAAGTGAATGCCTCAACATCTGACATAACACACGAGTGATCCCCTCGACTCTTGCACTCCAATTTTTAAATAGTTAACTCCCCTTGGATGCCCTATTATGTTTACATGGAATGTGTGTAAAATGTGCAGATTTCACATTTTTTCATTGCAAACATAAGCTTTCTCATAATTTCTGTCAAAACCATTTGTAGGGCACAGCATCACAGCTTACATCACAATAAACATGAACCTGTCACAGTCTAGTATACTAAAATATGCTAATTAGATGTTAGGATAACTTACAGCCAGAGATTTTCAAGGATCTGGGCTTTATAAGCCTGGCGGCGAGGCACAAATACACAAACGTGCGTAATCGTGCATATTCATGTATCTCTGCGTTCTGAATAAGCGTAAAGGTTTAGGGATGCTCTCATGCCATTTTTAGTACAGTCTTTGGCATAACAATAATAAAAAAATAAAAAATATTTTACGAATTACTATTCAGCACATTTTGTTATGTTTACATTATTATGTTAGGGATACTTTAACTGTGCCATCACTTTGTTTTATAATGAAATTATTTTTGATTTTTTTTGCACTGACACTTCATGTCTCTAGCACTGGCAAACTCCATGTTGTTAGTGTTCAGCAGTTCCCTTTCCACCTTGATCTTGTCTGCAGGAGCTGGCCTCTCACAAGAAGCAAGGACCAGGTTTCTTGAGCAGGATGGGGGATACAGTGCGAGCTGTAGCTGCCACCGTCAGAGGGGTCAGAAACCGGCCAGAGGAGTTCAATGCCATTCAGGACTACGTGGAGGCGTTCAGTCAGAAGATGACCTCAATGGACAAAATCACCCAAAGAATCATCAAAGAGCAAAAGGGTATGCTTTCATGTATTCCCAATAGGGATGAGAGTGTTTTTAGAATATATAAATATCATATAAATATCATATCAGTACAGTATAAAATACCTAAGTCAAATATAAGGCTATATGTAGTCTTAATTTTATTAAGACGTGTTTGATTGCATGTGTGACATAGAATTGTAGAAAATGTCAGGACACAAGCAATTAAATATCTGTCTCACATTAAGCGAAACTGCATTATATAAAGGAGCTACATATAACAATATGTTCTGCTTTACATACAAAGATAAATTGCTAAATCAACTAAACAGTCAGGTACAAGTCCTCTCTCACGAGAACCATTTAAAATATTTTCTTGTTAGGATGTTTGAATACTGGTCAGTAAAAGTAGTTATTCAAATAGCAAAAGTGGCTAAAATACCCATGCCTAAGACTCACTTACTCTGAAGTTCCATCCTTTCTGCTTTGTGTCCAGAGTACTTGGAGGAGGTGAAGGAGTGTGGACCCATCTACACTCTGTGGTCAGGCTCAGAGGAGGAGCTGGTAGAGCCTCTGAAGATGATGGCAAGTTGCTTGGACAGATGCTGCAGGGAGAGTGAAGAGCAGATCCAGCATCTCAGCAGCAGTCTACTCCCAGTCCTACACGAATACGTGCTCTGCACTGAGACACTCAAGGTACTCAATATTGTTGCCACCTTGACTAAGTAAAGAGAACATGATTGATAGCTTGTTTTTTTTCTGAAAAAAATATCAAGAAAAACAGAAATTATTAAATAATCCTAGCCTCAAATAGTGCTTGTTTTAGGTTTTGTTTAGTGCCCCAACCAACCCCCCCCCGGCGCCCAACCAAGACTGCTCTATAAAACAAACGGTGCCGTGTTCTTTTGTAAGCCATGTTTAATTTGTGTTTGACAGTGCTAGCATTTCATCTCATTTGTGCTGTAACTGGAGGCATAAACCTTGGGTCAATACTGTGATCAATATAATGTGCATTATGTTTTACCAAGGCTTATTATGTATTTCATCCACTCCTATATTTCATTAAGGTGTATTGATCATGGTATTTGTAATACGCAGGCAGTACTTCGGAGACGAGACAACATCCAAGCGGAGTTTGAGGCTAAGAACGAGGCTCTTGCCACTAAGAAGACAGACAGCGAAGCAGTGAGTGCAATATTGACTCTTTCCTTTTTCCATTTAATCCACCCAATGCTCTCTTGCAATTTCTCAAAGATTATTAGTAATAAAGCCTTGCTTCAGCAGCCATGTCTGCTTTCATTTGAAAGCAATCCATTTTAAGCCTAAAGAGGAATATGGTGAGATTATATAAATATCTCAGGAAAGCTGAGGAAGTCCCACTGAGCCTGAATGCACTTCAGCTAGAACACGGTAAATACGGTTGAATATAGCCTGTGCTAATCATGTCATGCTTAAATCTTTTGGGCTTTTGACTTCTTACATCAATTCCATCAAATGTCATGAGTGCAAGAATGATCCCCCTGTGGAGAGGGGAAAGGGGCATTATTAGGTAGAGTCCTTTTGGAGAAGTGCTTGAAGGTTGTGGAGGTGCCCCTCCAGCTTAGCAATAACCTTTCTCTAGAGAATTTAATTACAGACGGTGAGCACTGTTCCTGATGACTTCCACTGTGCTGTATGACTCTTGAAATGGAAAGATTCTGTTTTATGTTTTTAGGTTGTGTGTGGTCTACAGGCATATAATACTGAATAGTATTTTAAAGGTGTTAACTCTGCTCAATATGAAATTAAGAGTAGAACACACCAAATGCCAGATAGCATGACCATCACCACACAACCCTGTTGAATTTGAATACAACCCTATGCAAACACTGTTATCTATCCTTGTCTGCAGAATGTCACTTTGACTTGTTATGTAACCAAAAATGGGAAGTAATCAAAAATGTTGGCTTATATGTTTTATGTTTCTGAAAGTATGATGGAAAGAGACACATTCTCAGAACTGTATCACTAGAGGGTCAGTCTCTGTAATAAAAGTGTAGATATTAATACAGTCAAGTGCAGACCTGTGTTTACTTGTTGTATCTGATGTGTCATCCTCTACTGGTTGTGTCCATGAAGGAGTCTAAGGTGCTGAGTTTAGCATGGGACAGCCTGGTGGGCAAAGACCCAGACGAGATCAGACAGCAGAAACAGCAGAAGCATAAAGGAGAGATTAAAGAGGTACTGATTTTGTAACAGCAGTTAGGCATGGCTTTACTAGCTTCCACTTCTGTTTCTGTAAGCTTCATTGTTTTGAGCTGGTAACGTTTTCTAAAGAACTGGAATTTGAGCATGGTTTAGGGCCAGTGGGTATTCACTTCTGGTCATGAAGAGCCAGTGTCCAGCACAGTTGAATGATTTCACCGCTCAGACACACCTTGTTCAACTCACTTATTGAGTTTAGACTGTGTTTTTTTCTCTCTTTATTATCTTTTCAATTTAGTAATAAATTACAAAATACTCTAAGTACAGTTTGCCATATAAAGAATATAAAGCAACACGCTTTTCCTGTACCATCTCTGTTCTTCCCCAAACCACTCCACCCTCCACTCCCTCTCAGCATGCTACATATATTCATAAGTTAAAGAGGAAGTCCACCCATTTTTCAAACCTTCTGCTTAATTCACTTGTTGAGATGGAAACAAAGTCATTCATACTGAGATTTCTTTACAGTGATGGTGTTGCAATGTCTACACTGCAAACATAGCCATTTATTTTCTATTCAAAATGACCATGTGTCTCCTGTGTCTTTTCATACGTAATGTTGGTAATGGTAAAATAGTGGTAAATCATAAAAAATAGGTTTTCTTTGGGTACTGTGTTTGCCATACAACGCCCTGCCTGTACCTTGTCACCATGAGTACGTTTAACAATGTACATTTTAGACCAAATTTTTAACTCAAATGATGTTTCACTTTGTGGGAAAACTTTCTGTGAGGTAGCTTTAAGAGGGATTAATTTCTTCAGATGTCTGGTTCCTGTCACCACCACTGTGACCAATTCTGATGTGGTGAGTTTCTCATCATACCATTTGAATGACTTTGTTGACAGGATGAGATGGTGACTAGCCAGCAGGTAAAAGCTACAGCACTGTAAACTAGGCATACTCTAGTTTTACAGTAACATAGCAATCAGAGAGTCTGGATCTATTAATACTGTAAGCCTCGCTTAGGTTTGTGCAAACAGAGGCATGACCAAAATATGTGAATAAAAGTTGCAGGGGCTGAGTTTTATCTGTCACAGATTCGGATAAATTTCAGCTTAGTTAGTCAGTGTGTTTGAGCAGAGAAATCACCAAACTGTGCTGGACGCTGGTCCTTCAGGGCTGAGTACCCAAGGTTTAGGCTTATGAACCACTGTATTCCGTAATGCTCGAATGTGTCATCCTTGTGTAGATTCCCTAGCCCCTTTCATTCTGGCTGGCCTTGCGCTGGCTCATGCTGCTGCATGTTATCTTTGGCTGCGCTGGTATCATTGCAATGGCAAATGCATCTTCTAAATGTATTTCTTGCGTGCGCCAGAATAATGGTCCTCCTTGGAGAAAAAGAGATTAGGGTGCATGTGGCTATCAATTAGATGCTTCCCTCTGCATCGTCTGTATTGTTGCTGGCCGTGCTCAAATCTTGTCAGTTTGTTGCATTCCCCAACCTGGAAATAATGTTTCCCAGCTACACAAACAGCAGCTGTAGAAAATATCTGTTTACTGTGACCATGTTAACACTTAATGAAATCCTCTAGTCTTCTGAATATGTGTGATGTAATATTCCATCCAGCAGATGTCAGTAAAGGTCAGAGTAAGCATATGGGGAAAACTCTGAACCTCTCATTTCCATGTTACCAGAAAGCTGCAGTGCATATGGGGTTCTGTTTATGAACTTTTAGTTAAGAAAAGAGCATCATGAAGCATTAGGTTGAGCTTCTTGCATTCTCTGATTCCCTGATTTATCTCTGATTCATTACTTCTAATAGGCTTGAGCCTATTTTAATGATGAAATGGAGACCTTGATCCTAATGACTAAGTGTGCATGTGCAAACTAGTGTGTTTGTCAGTATTAATGTGCCTGCTGTGCATCTTGTAATAACAGTGAGGGCAAATCAGCGTAACTAATGATCTGTCCTGGTTGTCACCGGGAAGATGCAGCTCCAGACAGTTACAGAGCACACCAGCACTGCCTCCCTCCCTCTGTTCGTCGGCCCCATTCAACCCAAGCCATCTCCCGTTCCACAAGACAGACTCACATTATCAGAGTGTGTACACACACACACACACAGACACATGCACATGCGCCTCTCCAGAAGGCACCTGGGTGAAGTGGCAGCAAACACAGAACGCTCGACCTTCATCAGCTCATCTGTCAATAAACGACTGGTTTTCCAAAGCTCCCTTTCCCCCAGTCTCAGCTTAGTAATTTGACATGCACTCCTCCCCACAGACCTTAGGCATCCCAGCCGTCGATTAGACTGTTTACTAATCATTTCGCTTCGTGCTTCAGTGCGACATGATACTTTTTGTGTTATCGGAAGCCAATTGGACCCAAGAGAACACTTGCTCACAAAGCAAGCTGTTTGATAAAGACGAGTCGTTAGGAACCACCTTGATGAGGTGGTCAGATCAGTGGTGGTGCAGTAACAGGGGGTCCGTTGCACTGTAATTTAAGACTGCATGATGACACTTTATAATAACAGGCCCTCCTTAAATAGCAGTAATTATCTAATAGTTTGTTAATGATAGTTTACAGTTGTGTAATTCTTACTTTTAAGTGCTGCAGTTGAAATGATTAACCATTTACATAGTGACAGAAATAATGAAAACAAGTAAATGTTCTTCATAAATGTATTATATTCACATGTAATAAGTAATACAGTATAAATATATTACAAAGTTACAGTGTTATAATATGAGTCCAATTAATGAAAGATTGTTAATGTGTAAAAACTATACATTAACCACTTAATAATGAGCATCACAAACAAGATAGTAATTAAATACTTAATCATTTAAAACAGGACAGGCAATTCATTTATAATTATGATTTTTATACAACCAAGTAAATGCTTAATAGTCGAAGTTTTTTAGGTTATGAGTATCAAATAACTAAATCATTATTAGCAAGCTGTAATTAAGTCTTAGTTGTCCAAAACTCAAATAATGATTGATTATTCATGTCATTAACTAAATGGTTAATATTTGCCATTTATTAATGCATATGTAACTATTAGATAATCATTAACAGTCATTAACAAACTATTACACTATAACAAACTGGTGTTAAGTGCACATAAAGAGTTACCAGTGGGGAAAAAGTGGAGCCTGAGCTTGTGTCATTGGTACAGTGGCTGAGGCAGCCTTACTTAAATACAGAGCTGAGAATGTGCCAAGGAACAAATTATCGTAATTACACTGAGTCAAGCCGTCTCTACACGTTCAATAGAACTGACCATATGCATCATTCCAAATTAAAATTGAACAAAAATTTAATAGCAGCGCACTCAATAATGAAAGGGTTTTACAACACTCTGAAAATGTCCCTATTTCAACTGACTGGTTTGTGAATGAAGGGATAAGCTGGACTTTTACATCAAGCATGATGTCACCAGCAGATGCGACTTGGCAGGCTTTTGGAGGGAAGCAGTGTGGGTGTGCGCTGGATATGTTATGTGATGGTGTGACTGTGTGCATGGGCAGTTGAAGGAGGAGATTGATAAGCTTGAGGACAAGCTGGAGTGGGCCAATAACACGCTGAAGGGGGACTGGAGCCGCTGGCAGAAGAGCATGAGGGCCGACCTGAGAGCAGCCTTCACCAGCACAGCAGAGAAGAACGTGGAATACTACGAAAAGGTGAGCAGTGTCCGTTCATGTCCTATTTTGGAGAACAGTGAATCAGTCTAATCTACTTGGTTATTTCTTCTGAAAAACTTTAACTGCTGAGAACTGCACCATAAAAATATATTGGGCAAGTTAAAAATATGTCTGTATGTAATTGTAAAGTTTTTTGAATTATACTCACCATTTGCCACCAGGTTGAAGGCTTTGAATCACTTACAAAGACTGTCTGATGGATGTACGTGGCTTTCTGCCTGCAGTCATTTGCATCTCCGCTTTGGGCATTTGCCAGTAGAGGGTGGTAGTATTTCATTGTATACCCACTGACAGTTTACTATAAGTAATGTTCCTCCGAGGCTATAAAGATAGGCTGATATTTCCAGTTAAAAAGGTTTGGAGGGGTGAGGTATTATGATGGATGGCATTAGATAGGTGCACTCTCTTTTTATTTGCTCCCTGTAGCTCTCTCCTTCATGCCTCAGAGTTGAATCAGAAATCGTGACCCAAGCACTGATGGTGCAATACAGTCTGGAAAGTGGAACTGGCCTTTGCGGATGAGGGAGGGGCGTTCAGGGACTTTGGCGAGAGATGTCGGATGTTTATAGAGTTTGTGATGCATCATCACTCTCACTGCTTCCATAGCCCCTTGAGGCCAACCTGTGCTTTCATAGAACTAGAGAAGATGTGTAATTATAGCAAGTGAGAATATCACACATTCACTGTATTCTAGAGCTTGCATTCTCAGCAGAGCAGCAGTGTCTACAAGTATGTGTTCCAATCATGCACCACAAGAGAGTTTACTAATTACAGTCATTAAGTACAAGTTATCATGTTTTTAAAATCAAAAAAATGAGAAAACATATAGTTGCTGTCCAAAAAAATAAAATAAACAAAATGGTAACTTTACAGAAGAAAGCAAAAAAAAACAATCTTCACTTTTAATGTAAGTGAATGTAATGAGATTTTTTTCAAGTAATTTTTAACAATTTCTATTGGTCCATTCAATTTTGATACAATGTAAAGGACAGCAGCTGATGTTGGAAAAATGGGAAAAAAAAGACTGAAGAGACCTTTTTGGGGGAGTGACAGCATATTTAACAGAAAATTAAATAGAAACCTCAGCAACTGAATATAATTTTGTTTTTTCCAGTATTTCCTGTGTCCACCTTATCACCTTGTCATAGCTTCCATTCATTTTGGGAGACCTGCTTTCAGTTTTTCAAAGAAATCTGCAGGGATATTTTTCCACACTCTCTAAAGTTCAGTCTTAGAAATTGGTTGAATTTTCTGTTTCTCACAATCCAAGTAATCCCAAACACATTCAGTAATGTTGAGGTCTGGACACTGGGACGGCCAGTCCATTTTTCTAAAAACACCAGCAGCTTCTTCGGTTGGTTTGCAGACTTTCTTGTTTTTTGTTCATTTCATTTTCTTAGCAACAGCTTCTTGACAGCTACACATCATTTACAACCTTGATTTTTCAAAGATCTCACAAAGACAAAATGTTTTAAGTATACTGTTTATCTGGTGCTGACAGTTCTGATGGTCTGCCAGGTCTTGAATGGTTGTTAGGTGTTCCATATTCTCTATATCTTTTGTCTTTATTTCTTGAACTCCAGTTTTGGAAGCTCTTGTTTTTTTCTACTTATTTTCCTTTGACTCGAATTCCTTATGCAAGAAGTTTGTTCGATCTAATCTCCTCAGAAAGATCTCCTGACAAATGAATAACTTGTACTTAATTACAGTTTTGACTGGAAATTAAATAAATGAAGCATGGTCACTGATTTACACACATGCCTGTAGCTTTCTTAATTTGTTACAGAGATGGATCCATATGGTGTGGTGGGGTGTTGGAATGAATGCTTATAGATGTTACGACTCTTCTTGGATCAGGATGAGCAACCTTGCTCTAAGGATTCATTCAGAAAGCAGAAGGCTAGAAGGAAAGAGCTGTTGGCTTTAAGTAATACACAGCAACAGAGCCAACGAAAGACAGACAGTCAGACGAGAACAGTTTCCCAGCTCATACACCTTGATTTCTGTTTCTCATCTCTTTTATTGGTAGGCATCACTCTGCTGAAGGCCAGTCTGTTATTGCTGTGTACATTTGAGGGGAAAAACAAGAAAGCATACTAATTGCTCCAGCTGTTCTAAATGAAACACCTCTGGGTCATTCATCTGTTATTGCAGGTTCCTAGCAGAGAAGGCCAAGGCAAGATTTGAATCAAGACAAGCCCATTCCTCATATTATTGTGTTTGTTGTAACCTCCAGGCTAAGGCTCATTTTTGTTTAATATCAAAGAAAAAAAAGCAAGCAGGTGAGTGAGGTGAAAATGGAGAAGAAACTGAGAGAGAGAAAGAGGGAGAGACTCCACAAGAGGTGGGAAACGAGCTCCTACAGGCTTAAGTGGACAGTTCAGAGAAGTGTGAGATTTGGTCCCATGATGAGTTGCTGCATTAAAGTGTGCTAAAAAGAGGTGAATGAAGCTGAGGATAGGGACTGTGCATTAGAGTTCTAGCTCCAGAGTTTGGCATGCAGGTGGTGATGGGGGACGGTTGTGTGCCTGTAGCTGCCCCAGGTCCTCTAAATGATTAATGCACATCAGAATGACCTCAATAAGGTGAGGCAAGGGGATGAAAACCCTCCTCTGAGACTGGGGATGAAGGCCATGGGTACTGACAGGACCTAAGGGAGAGTGCTCCACTGCGCCCCCTATAGCAGACAATACCCCGCAGTACTGCATACTCAGAGAGAGAATGTAGATTAAGAATGAGGGGGTGAAAATAGAGCATATGTGGGATGGGTTTGCCAATGCAATGAAGAAAGGAAACAGGAGAAACGCTCAGAGAGAAGGAAAACTGAACGGAGGTGAAGACGCAACAAGATGTGCAGAGTTTGCAAGTTTGCAGCGTCTGTTTAGACTACAAAGTCAGATTGTTTTCATTTTAAAATGCTTATTTTGTATTGTGTTTACATTTCATTTTATTATGTTTACAAATAAGCCCATTTGTAAAATGGGACTGGTAACTCAGCTTTTGGATTTATACCGATCAGGCATAACATTATGACCACCTCCTTGTTTCTACACTCATTGTCCATTTTATCAGCTCCACTTACTATATAGGTGCACTTTGTAGTTCTACAAGTACAGACTGTCCATCTGTTTCTCTGCATACTTTGTTAGCCACCTTTTACCCTGTTCTTCAGTGGTCAGGACCCCCAAGGACCCTCACAGTGCAGGTACTATTTGGGTGGTTCATTATTCTCAGCACTGCAGTAACACTGACATGGTGGTGGTGGTGTGTTAGTGTGTGTTGAGCTGGTACGAGTGGATCAGACATAGCAGTGCTGCTGGAGTTTTTAAACGCTGTGTCCACTCACTGTCCACTCTATTGGACACTCCTACCTTGTCAGTCCACCTTGTAGATGTAAAGCCAGAGACGATAGCTCATCTGCTGCTGCACAGTTTGTGTTGGTCATCCACTAGTCCTTCAGCAGTGCCCACGGGACGCTGCCCACAGGACGCTGTTGGCTGGATATTTTTGGTTGGTGGACTATTCTCAGTCCAGCAGTGACACTGAGGTGTTTAAAAACTCCAGCAGCGCTGCTGTGTCTGATCCACTCAGACCAGCACAACACACACTAACACACCACCACCACGTCAGTGTTACTGCAGTGCTGAGAATGATCCACCTGCACTGTGAGGGTCCATGGGGGTCCTGACCACTGAAGAACAGGGTAAAGGGGGGCTAACAAAGTATGCAGAGAAACAGATGGACTACAGTCTGTAATTGTAGAACTATAAAGTGCACCTATATAGTAAGTGGAGCTGATAAAATGGACAATGAGCGTAGAAACAAGGAGGTGGTCATAATGTTATGCCTGATCGGTGTATATAACGGGGCTAAGTTTAAGGAGGTAAAGCATAATGTCAGTGAGCTGAGATGCTTCATGTAAGACAGAACCTATAATTAAATGGTTACGAGGGGAGTTTTGAATATATTGTAATCAGAAAGTATGCATCTTTATATATAAGCTGAATGTGTAAGGTGAAGATCCCCAGTCTAACCCTGTCTTCCTGCGTGGGCTGATATTGTAATTTTTAGAGGCATTTGCATGGTAGCCTATACAACACTGTGGGCACAGCAGGCATACACTGTAAGATGGCAAGTTCAGAGGATTGCCATGGAGACGCCATAGCAACAAGGATGTTGCTCAGAGATGGGGAAGACAAGGATCTCGTCATTAAATGTTGGACTTAAATAAGACAGAGCCAAGCTTTTTCGAGGTTTCCAAACATTGCCTCAGAAACATCCCTTATGAGGCATGCGGCGCAGCAGGGGTTGATGTTAGGTTTTCATTTATTCAGTGTAGGAGCCCTTTACACTGGATGTTTCCCCTTTGAATTAGACACTTCTCACTGTTATCTTGAGTAGCAGTGCCATTGTTGACTGCAGTGCAGAGAAGTTTGTTTCCTCCTCCTCTCTTCATGCACTTTGAAGTAGCTGAAGTTGAACCCGAGCCTCTCCTAAGTCATGCGTTCTAAGCCAATGTTTGTAAGCATGCCCATCCTGAGACTGAGACTGGCTGATTATTTGCTCTGTGCTGCCTGTATCGTTCCCTGATTAGCTCTGTTTACCTGCACATCCGCTCCAACAGCTGAAGCTGAGGCAGAGAATTGCTGGTTAATGGGGCCAGGCCCTCAACCTTATAATGGGCCTCCTAATCACAGCTGAGGCTTCTCCAGCAGTGTCCACTGAAGCCTGCGGCAACAGTGTGTCCGATACAATGTTAAGCCACACTACTTTCCCCCATTCCATCTCAACAGGAACAAATGCCTCTGAACTTACAATATCAGCCCACCATATTAGGGAGTATTGACAGCCTCATCAATGAGCCAAGACGCTTTAGCCAATTTATTGCCTCTGCAGACGTGTCACTCAGTGCTCGCTCTATGTTCTCACCAGTATTTTTTTGTCTTCTTTTAGTGGTTGCCACTGTATTGCACCTATGGTTCCCCTCTGTGCAGTGCTTTGTGGAAAAAAAATCACTGAATTTAAAAGATGGGTCATGTGGTTTATTAGTAGATGCCACACAACTAAGAAATTCAGTATGATTTTTATTTGCATTCAGTTTTCCTAGGGTTATCATGAATACTCAATTAAACTTGAATACTCCATTTAAAAAGAACTAATTAATTAAAATGTACCTTCTATATGAATCTGGAGTGATTAGTTGGTAATTTGCATGATGATGCATATTGTAATTTCTCTTGGTCTCTCTTACAGTAAGAACCTTATTCTCACTTATGTTTATGAGGGTTTTTTGTAAAATATTTTAATTAGGGATGCGAATCTTGGCACAATCTTTTAACAAATGACCAACTGTCATTAGCCAGCCATTAAATCATTAAAGCCCAAAATCAAGGACCCAGCCCATCAAAATATCAATTAGAAAACAGGAACTTCCAGACCTAAAAGCTGACTGACCGAGTTACATTCTAAGCCATTGTAAAATACTTGATGTACGCACTCTTTTTAATGCACACATAAACTGAATTCTGTATTAATGCGCCAAACAATTAATAAATGTTCCTTGTACGGGCTGCGGAAGGTAGTGCTGATAGGTGGGGCATAAGCATGTATATAAAGTAAATGACCTGAAACACTTTGTTAAAACATGGACTGACTGACAACTATAATATGTTCATGATTATATGACCAAATACTAAAAAGTTGACAAAATGACTGTAATATACAAAAATGGGCTACAGAAAATAGAAAGCTGTTGCTGTGCACCATATCCTTCTCTATAATTTTGCACACCTTGCACACTTTCTCTTGGAGAACATGGACGATGTAGTTATCTTATCGAGAATCTTTGCTTTGCTATGGTACGTGGCTGAAGTAGTACTATTGTCCTCTCATATGCTGCTCTGAAACAGCAATATTTTTAGCTGCACGGTTCATTTTTTAGTAGGCCTGTCTTGCAGAACCGATCATGCTCTCATGTTCACAATTCAAAAACACTGCTCAATATGAATGACAAATTCACCTATTCAGATAGAACTGTTGTTTATCAGAAATGAAGTTAAATTAATAATTTTTCAACCCAAGAAAGTTGTTTATTTGTCACTTAATAGTAATTTGTTAATTATTTACATCCCTAGTTTTATTACATTTTTGTTAAAGAAATAATTGTCAAATAACCAGTGGAAATAGCTCAGTTCATAATATAATCAATAGCGGCAGCCCTACATTTTACCTCACTGTCTTGTCTTGCTGCAGACCTTTCTTTCACCTGTGTCTGCCTTTCAGTTTAACTTCTTTCTTCTGCCTTGTGCGATCTTAGTCAAGTGTTCCTTTTTGATGTCTGCTCACCAAAGTGTAACATAGCCGGCTAGCAAATAGAGCAGTGTCCATCAGCTCAGTCTATGGTCTTCTCCAGCCTCAGTGACCCCACTGCCCAAAGCCAGGGTCAGTCATAAGTAAGCAATCATTTCCAGAAAACAAAAGAGTGAGGGGACAGTCTGCCACCCCACCCACTTCCACAGCTCTGTATTGTGCTTTTACCCTCAAGATGGTGAATCAAACACACTGTCCTTGAGCCTACCTTGCAGTCTTTTTGTATGCAGTGTATAATGTCTGCTGTGACAATTCAGCCTGTTTTGAGGGGAAAGAGTTTATTTGAGTTTCTCCAACACAAATGGGAAAATCACTCAGACAAATCACTCACTGACTGAGCGCTTTAGTATGTATTACGCTTCCATCCTCCAGTTTCGGAAGAGAAATGTGAAAGTGTGTTCTTCAACTCTGACTTGCCTACTTACTATTGCCTGCTCATTGTCTGATTGGTTGTAAATTATGTTGGGGGGGTAGGAGCGGTCAGCCAACATGCTCTCTTTCATGTTGTCTTTTCTGGCAGGTATACTGAGCTGTCTCTCCTCTACACACATTAATATTCTAGTCTTGCTGAGTCAGATGTCTACACAGACAGCTCAGAGCGGGGAGGAGCTTGTAGATATGATACCTTTTTACATGCTTCCATAACTCTGCCATTCATACCTCACCCCTGGCATGTCCTAATAATGAACTCAAACATTGTCAAACTTTTCTACAGTTTTCTTAGCTTTAAATGTTCTCATGGCTGAAACGGTGCTTTATCCAGAGACAATATAAAGGAGGAGGAGATCGTTCACTGGTTAAAAAACAATGCTCAACATGGGGTCTGTTTACTGGGAAAAGCAAGCCATTCAGTAAAAAAATCTGTCTGCTTGGTTAAGCTGCAAGTAGAAAAAGCCTTCCCTCAATGTGTGTATTAGCAGTACCAAGAATAGACTGAAAAAAATCTTTTTGTATGTTATATATGTTATATTGGAGCTACAAAATATTCATGGGACTTTTGTCAGATTTTACCTAAGATTTCAAATATGTTTTTGAAACATTAAAGGGAAATTCCACCATTTTTTTCAGTGGTGCTGCTTAATTCAATGATTGAGATGTAAACATTAGGAATGATTTGATGAGAAAAGGTTTATTGTAGACAAGCTTACTGACTCGGGTTTCTTTACAGTGGTGGTGCAAGGAAAAAAAGGTTTTAGGCCAAAACTCAAAACTTTCACAAAACAATGTCTTAGACGTCAGACAGCATATTTTTAAGCATTTCATGTAAGGTAGCTTTTAGAGGCTTTAAACTCTTTAGTCTGGTTCCTATCACCACCACTGTGAACAGTTCAGACTTGGTAAAATTTCTCTAGAGCAGAGCATTTCACATCAAACCACTCTGAATGACTTTACATCTTAACCTTTTAATTATGCAGAAATTTTGATAAATTGATGGAATTTCTTTACAGCTTTCAGTTTTTGGTTTATAGCTCCCACTATATTCAAAGAGAGAGGAGTCTGGTCTAGTATGAGTGGAAAAAATTTGCATTTTCCACTCTTTTGCCACGGTGGCTGCTAAATGGACAGACGCTTCTACATGGACCTAGGTTTACCCAAATCTGGCCACATTATGTTCATTGTGGTCAGTGAGATATAGCCTTTTGCTACAGCTATTTATAACTGTGGTCCGGCAAGTTTTTTTGTGCTCTCATCTGGAGTGCTTCAAAAAGGTCAGAGCTCATCTAGTGAAGTGCCATCCTGATTAAGTGCTTTTGACAGGCAGTCGGCCACAGTGAGCATGCCTCTGGTGTGCCAACCACGACACAGACTCTCAAGTGCCAGGCAAGTTGTGTGGGCTGTTGGGGGGGTGTTTGGACCTGAGAGCGAGGAGGACATTAATCTAGAGCCTGGCAAGTGACACATAAATGGCGCGCGAGCCTACGCTCAGCCGCAGCTTGTGAATGAAATTGGGTGCTAAATTGAAAGTTGCCGTGTGTCAGCCCTCATGGCAGCCTTCAAAATGGCCTCCTATTACTCTGGAGTCAGGGGGCCTTTATTGATGAGGGAAACAACGAACCCAGACGAAAGTCCATAGGTGCAGACTGGGGAGAGAGGCAGAGATGGAGACTTGATGCTGCTGTCATTCTAAATGTGTGTTCTCTTGCAGTGTCTGGCAGTGTGGGAGTCATTCCTGCTGTCTCAGAGGACTGAGGCCAGTGAAGGAGGAGACAGAGACGAATCCTAATCTCCCATGATGCATTTAGCCAAACCACGATGACCAAAGACGAGTGTTTACCTTGCAGTCCAAATGCTCCAGTACCACTGCCACAGTATGAACTCAGCTGTGCCTTATTATCAACTGACCAGGGACAAAGATTTGTAAAGGACCCATTATTTCTCTTATCCTCTACTGCTATGAGATTGCCTTTTTTTCTATGCAGTTCGCAGAACTTGTGAAAAAGTGGCAAATATTTTATAATACTATTTTTGATTCTGTTTGACATAAGCACTAAATGCACTATTGGGTTTTTAGATTTGACAATAAAAGAATTAATGTGAATGGAATAGAAACCCTTCATGGCTTTATTATCTTTTGGATGTTATTAGTTTTGTGGTTTCATTCATATGTTTGTTTGGATGTAGGTTTTATCCACAATTGCCTTTGATAGTTTAAAGTATTTGACCTTACAGGTGGATCCTGAACTGATTGACCCATTGCTAACATACCAATGTGAAGTTAAATAATGTACCCCAGTAAATCCCAGATTCTTTCCTTTTCCTTTTTAATGTCTTTATGCGTCTAAAGCTGATATCTACAGTTTGTTTACGATATTAAAATTCTCAAGTCTTGAAACCATGAAACTGAATTACTTTTTATGAATTTTTAAAAAGTGTACATATTTTTAGACACCGTATTTCAATAAAAGATGCATCAGTCATCATGCAAGATTATTTGCATATTGTGTAAATTGTAATGTGTGGCTTGTTTTTGTTTACCCCTATTTTTAGATTCATAGCTATAAACAGAATAACAAACTGTAAAAATCTGCTTTTCGTGGTACAGTTTCATATTGTTCGCTGTGGATTTGTTGTTTTCTTTGTCATGGGATTTTGCTCTCACTCTGGGTGTGAAAGAACAGGCCGCCGAGCTGCATGTTTGATGCTAAAGTAGGTTACCCACTTGGCCTAATCGCATTAAACATTTAACTGCTCTCTTTAAATAACACCGTGCCCTGAAATTATTGCTTTTATCAGCAGTTTATTTTGTGCAGAATTGAAAGAGAGAGAGAGAGAAAACAATAGGTCCACCGATGCTCACTCGCTCTCACTTTTGGAGAGCAGGCAGAATTATGCCACATCCTGAGCTCTCAATCTTTGATTTACAAGTTGCTGCTCCGGTTGGGCATAGAGTGCTCTTCCTGATTTGTGAGACTGGAACTCTTGTGTTAACACTATAAAAGCCGTCACCAGCAGAAGGTCATCTTACTGTTTACGCTCCACAAACTGCATTTTTTTACAATATTGCTTTTTCCTTCACAAAAATGTCCTGTCATTACAGTTCTTGTACTTGAATAATCCGGTTTTGAATTACTTTGACTTTTACCCCTCTACGTTTTCAGGAGAAAAATACTTCTCGAGCATGGTTTGTCCTGAATAATACAAAACAAGCTTCTGCATTCATTTGTGCCTGTCTGCAGCTATAGCAGCTTTTACATGAGTTGAAGCTGCTAAGCTGAATCATCTGCAATGTCAGGACCTCCACCATCAGTTAAGATGACCATATTTAAGTCTGACATTCTGGAGTAGATTCTCAAAGAGATTCTCACTGACTTAAATGTAGCTGTATGTAACTTAAGACTTTGCGTATTTGTTCCTTGTTTGTTTATTGCCTTGTGGGACTTTACTTCATTATAACAAATGGATTCATCACAGATATTCTGGTTATTGGCTGAATTGAGAGGCTAAATATAAGGGGGGGAACATGATGAAGATGACACTCGGATGTTATCAGTAGATTAATTTAAATTTGTCCTGTACATACGTATACCTCTGTAACCACAATTTACTTATTTGTAACTGATTTGTAATTTAAATTTGAATATGAAGGTAAAACCATAGCACATTAACAACTATATTTGAAACAATATATGTTAGATATTTTAACAGTAAAATATCCATACATTCATTTTATAAAACCTACTCAGACTTTTTGAGTGATTTTTTTTTTTATTGAAAAAGAAATTGTCCCTTAGAGTTCACCCTTCATTTACCTAATTTTCTGTCAAAATGGTAATTAAGTACAAGTCGTTATTATTAACTTGTTGTTATTATTATTATTATCATTATTATTATTTATTATTATTATTATTTTCAACATTAGGAAAAAAAACATGAAACATTAGACAGAAAATTATATAGAAAGCTCAATAGCTAAAAATACAATGTCAGATTTTTCAGTATTTAGTGTGTTCACATTTTGTTATAGCTTCATTTTTTCAGGGGAGACTTGCATTCAGTTTTTCAAAGAAATCTGCATAACTCCAAGGTTCATTCTTAAAAGTTGGGTTCATTTTCTGCTTCTCACAATCTAAGTAATCCCAAACACATTCAGTGATGTTGAGGTCTAGACTCTAGGGTGGGCAATCTATTGTTTACCAGCAGCTGCTTACTGACAGCTACATATCCTTTTAGACTCATAGTGTTGAGTTGTGTTCTCACAGTGGAAGGATGGACAGAAACACCTGTGCATTTTTTGAGATCTGAAGTGAGAATGGAGCTTGATTTTTCTCCTCTCTCTCAAAGATGAAAGCTTTAAGGACTGTTTTATCTGATGGTGACAGTTTTGGTCGTCCACCAGGTGTTACATTGTTGTTAAAGGGTCCCTTTTTCTCTATATATTTTCATCATTTTTTTGTGTTCCAATTTTGTCTAATTTTCCTTTTAATTTCCTTTCCCCTTTCTTATGTAGGTAGATTGTCTTATACTAATCTCCTGAAAAAATGAATAACTTAATGACTGAAAATTAAATTAATGAAGTGTGGTCTCTGACTTTTGCACAGTATTATACTGAAGTACGTTTTCCCCAAAATAACTAAGCTAAATAGTCTTGCATGTTATATTGAATGCCTTTTTATTATGCATTCATACTTGGCTTCTTTGTTCAAGTAATTGTACAGCTGAGATGTATTATTAAAATTTGATCAATGGGTGATTTCTATGGCTAAGATGCCCTTTTCAGTTAATGAAAAATTACAGTATATTACTTAGGTTCAGCCAGGCCTGGCACCTTTTTGTGGACTGAATTATGTCTAACCCTACGCTACTTCAGTCAAATACAACATTCACAAATCTGCTTGGTCAGCTAAGTGGAAAAAGTCACAATAGTTAGAGCCTCCATAGCAAAGAGTCATGATATAAAGGGCGGCACAGCAATGGAAAGTTCATTTCCATGCTGTCATTCTCACCAACTGGTCCCTGGTTGAGGAATCTGTTCCTGGCACATCACAGCCTTTTAGAAAGTTCCTCATCATTAAGAGTTATGCTGGCATTGGGTGAAATGCACGTGTCTCTGTGCTCTATGGCCTTTACTCACAGAATTCATGTCCTGACAACCCTGAGGGGCTCACAGACTATAATGCCTAAAAGAAGCTATTCAAACTTTCTTGACCATAATTTCTTGCCAGTTTATAGCGAGCTGTAAAACAAACACTGGGAATCGTATAGAGTAAATAGATATGTTTGCAGAAACTAAATCTACAGCACAAAATGGCAGCAAGATTGATAAGGTAGTTAAACCTTCCTATCTGAGCCTCTAAAGCTTTTGTGTAAACTTAGGAGGGAATGAACTATGTAGTCTCTGTTTACAAGTAGAACCTGCTTTGCATGCTTTTTCCTGACCTCATGCAACTAGTGAACTGTTACCAAGTTCCTGCTTAATGTTGTATGTCTCTGTGCTGGTGTGTCACTGGGTGTGAAATCAGAGTGAGAACATGACTCACTGTGCACTCGCCTTAAGTCCACGAATCATTTAAAAGTGTGATCAGGGGACTATGATGGACTATGGTTTCTGCTGAAAATAAACCAAAGAAGAAAAGGTATGTTTGTTATTCATTTCTTCGAGGTTGAACATTTTTTCTCTTCTCATGATGCAAACAGAACTGATTTGTTTCTTCAAGACTTCAAATGACTACCCCACTACAGTGGGTTATTTCCAAAGATTTAGTGTAATTTTGTATAAATATAGGCATTCCATCATTGGAATGTGAAAAAGTGTTGGCTCCCAGCTCAACTCATAATCAGCCCTGAGGGAAAAAAAAAACCAAGGCTGTGAGAGGGTGAAGGCGAGTCAGTGACATGAGAAAATAAGGTGTAATGAACAAGGCTCACCATGCAGGAGATTCTGCATCCTCCATTCTGTTTCGTACTCTGCAGGCTCATTTTCCAGATGCTTCCGAAAGCTTTCCCTGAGTTCAGTGGCTGTGTCTGCCCTCATCCATCAGCCATCAGAGAATAAAGGACTAAAATACCATAGGCACACCATGATGACAGTATTTCAGTGAACTGAAAGTAGAGCTGAGATGCTTTGGGCAAGGCTTGTTACCATGGTTGTCTTAAATAACGCCATTTTGTGTGATGCTGCCACAGATGTGAACACCGAGTCATCTATAGGGACGATCTGATCAGAGGTAATGGGACACATTCCACAGGAATAATTATGGACATTTCAGGACTCATTGGGCAGGGAGTTCAGACTGCAGTCAGTCTCAAATGAGAAGTGTGATGAGCTGTGGAAAAAAATGGACAGCCATTTCGCTCAGGGCTCACAGAAAGTATTTAGGACTTGGTGTTCAGGGCTTAAAAGTTCCTTTGCACTGTTAAGTAGCTTTCTTTTGCTTGCTGTTACCAAAACAACAGTAGATACCAGACACTAGCAATTCCACTGAATACAATGAAGGTCAGTGTTATTTCCTTGCAGCAAACACACCTACACTAAACCCAGCATGATGTATTTTGAGGTCACAGTCAGATTTTTAAAAATATATATTATAGTCCTACTGACTCACATGGCAGTGTGAAGTACTCTTCATGCAGCTACACACAGGTCAAGATCTTATACCAAGAAGCTCACCATGTGACACTAACAGTAATGCAAAGATGTCACTCACACAGGAATACCTGCCTTTCTCTTATTTCAGTGACACAGATTAACTACTTGTATTGCAGTGCTGAATATGCAGCATCTTGTCTTGTCCTCCACAGACTGTGAGAGATTCACTTGCTTGGAACTGGGAGTAGCACTCTTGCTAACTGGCTTACTACTAGCTTGGGTTTGCCACAACTGGTTGTCCAGCTCCCTTGCTAGCCCTGGCTTACCAACTTGGGTCATCGTACTTTCAGTTACCTCAGTAGCATTCATATTGCTGGTCCTCCCAGATTGGCCCTTTGTCCAGCTTGACTGAACATGGTCACTACTGGATAGCACTACTAATCCATTGTGACAATTAAAGAACTGAATCCTGCTGAGACCATTACTAACAGAGCTGGCTACCTATCTCCAAGGCCTTGACTACAGCCACTAGTCAAGTCAAATTTGTCAAATTTATTTGTATAGCGCTTTTTACAACTGATGTTGTCACAAAGCAGCTTCACAGAAATCCATTAAGGACAAAGTTTTAACATGAAATGTAAATCCTCCAAGTGAGCAAGCCAGGGGTGACAGTGGCAAGGAAAAACTCCTTGGGAGGAACCAAGGCTTACATGGGGGGACCCATCCTCCTCTGGTCAAACTACCTTCAAAATTATTATACTACTAATATTAATAGTAGTAGTAGTAGTAGTAGTAGTAATAATAGCACCAACTGCTTCTCCTTAGTGAGAAGTAGTTGAAACAATGGGTTCCACACAATGTTTTATCCATTAATATGTATGTCTGACATTTTGTTATGTACAACAAATGGGGTATGAATGT